AACACAGATTGGTGACTCAAGAATCGTTTATTCTTGCACAAATACAGAGCCAACAATTAGGTTACTGTACACAAAGATTCTGATAGTTTTCCTCTGTCTTCCAGCGAACGATGACTCCCGCCAAAATATAGAGTTGGGTATGAACAAACAACCATGAATTGATCGTTCAGTCTTCAACTACATTGACACCTTGTGTGTCAAACCTTTTTTTTCAGTTTTTCCCAGGGTCCGGCGCACTTGAATTAGTATGACAGTTTTCAGCCACAAAGAGAGTGCAGAGATAGTAGTCTAATCAAGGCACCTTAATTTAGCTAACACAGACACGTGAGATGCTATGCAGACTTGTCAGTTAAAGTAGGGAGAACCACTTCTGACTACCAGGAATGCCTACTGTGCATATTTTAGTTTAACGTCGAAGCAGGTGCACTCCTGAAATTAACACTTTAGAGATTGAGGGTGTTGATGTTTACGGATTGTATGCTTTATACTAGCGCGGTATCTAATACCTACAATTTCTATAAAATTCGTTCTGCGTAGATCAGATGTGAAGCGAAACAACAAAAGTATATTTAGGGACCAAATTGAAGGGCGATATGGTTGTCTAATTAGCTAGGGACCGTGCACGAAAGAACGGACGTAACACTGTGGAGTGCCAGACGGTGTGGATGTTTGACAATAATCCTTCAGCTAAACAAATCGACTCGAACAGCGACGGCTAGCATCGAATGTTCAGTGATTAAGGCTGTGGTTAGTCATTTTGGGGAGGCATCCACCACTACAATCCCAACTGACTTAAGCGACTTAGGGTTTGACTATTGACAGTGGTTAGTCTTGATGTATGCACATGTTGTAATCCTAGATAGATACTCTGATACAATCCAAAGCAGAAACCTTTGATTGTTTTGCATGAGATTCGCCACCGTCAAGTGCATGATGATACTGCATGACCATACTGGACCGACTACTAGGTGAACGATAAGTAAAGAAATGGTGTGTTTTGACTTCTTCATATATTTTGGAAGTTGCATCAACCCCACTGGACTGATTGCTGACCGAATCTTCGCAAGGACATAAAACGTCCGTGCAGCACTAGTCGATTCACGCAATCTCTAGTGTACACGTGATAACGATCAAACTATGTATGTACTGCGGAGCAGTTAAGCGTCTTCGCTTATGGCTGTGAGACACGGTTATTGAAAGTGGAAGATATGGAAAGACTAGCCTCTTTTGACTACAGATATTTGCGATTCATGTAAACTGGTACAATGGGGTGAGTCCAGTCAATTGACAAAGTTTTGAAACTATGTCGTCTGAGGTGGATTTGATGCGCATCGTGCATGCCACGCTACCGCCCTACTCGTCAAGTAACGTTACCTGACAGATGAAAAAGGTGGCGGTGGTCAAGCTAAAACATATGAATGTGGCTTATATCAATGCATTCGTTATAACAAATACAAGGTTTCTGATATCCCCTCCTAAAGAACACCAAGTAAATCTGTTTTGAAAGACAAGCTTTTAGACGCCTATAACAATGAGTTAAAACCTCGAATTTTGTTTATCTAACAATTATCTTTAACAACTTTGCATTGTTAAACGCGATTTTCTAATGGAAGACATGACATAATAACGGCGGTCATTGCTGCAGATGAATGTAAGGCAAATGCATCTGTTCTGCAGCAGCCTCCAATAGTACAACGATATATATATATATATATACATATAAACCTCGCCAGATAATAGCTTGCTAGGCTACTAGCTTACTAGTTTTCTCGACGGTCCCAAGCTCGGGTAAAGAGGGAGGGTTGGGGCGTGGTGCTAGCAACTCTACAGAAACTTCAACGAATAAATATATTAAAAATTCTAAAAACATAAGCAATAGCCTTACTTTTCGCTGGAATCGGGGAAGTGAAATGACGCAGGCTGGTGAAAGCCTTCGGGAAGCCAGTCAGCCGATGTGCCTTCTTTCGATGAAAGCAAAAGTAAGGATGGGTACCTGGAATGTTCGCACAATGTACGAAACTGGAAAGGCTGCCCAGATAGCCGCTGAAATGAGAAGGTACAGAATAGAAGTGTTGGGAATCTGCGAGAGCAGATGGAACGGAACTGGAAGGTGCCAACTACCTACTGGAGAGACAGTAATCTTTTCCGGCCACCCAGAGGACAACCATGAGCACACCGAGGGAGTGGCCATCATGATGTCACCAACAGCAACCAAAGCTCTCATGCAGTGGGAACCAATCTCCTCCAGGATAATGACAGCCAGGTTCAACTCAAAAGGAAGGAAAGTTACAGTCATTCAATGTTATGCGCCTACAAACGTCTCAGAACAAGAGAAGAAGGAGGCGTTCTACAGACAACTACAAGCAATAATGGACAACGTCCCAAATGGCGATATCAAAATCCTGATGGGCGACATGAATGCGAAGCTGGGAGGAGACAACACAGGAAGAGAACTCACCATGGGTCGTGAGGCCCTCGGTGAAATGAACGACAATGGTGAACTCTTCTCAGACTTCTGCGCCTTCAATGATTTGGTGATTGGCGGTAGTGTGTTCAAACACAAGGATATACACAAGACGACATGGATTTCACCAGATGGAAACACCAAAAACCAAATAGACTTCATCTCAATTTCAAGAAAGTGGAGACGGAGCCTACTGGACACAAGGTCAAGGAGAGGAGCAGATGTGGGTTCAGACCACTATCTAGTACAAGGGACTTTCAAGGTGAAACTAAAAGCCTCGAGGATAGCTGGGGATAGGCCACAATGCAAGTTCAACACTCAATTACTGAAGGACACAACCACAAAAGACACCTTCACTGCAACTGTCAGAGCAAAGCAGGAAACACTACGCGACATCACTGAAGAATCATGCGTGGAAGAACATTGGAAGTCTCTGAAGGCGATTCTCAACGAAACGTGTTCAACGGTTCTAGGAAGAAAGAAGAGACAAGACAAGGAATGGCTCTCAACGGACACTTGGAAATTAATAGAAGAGAGGAGAATGGTGAAAGAGAAAATGATTCAATGCAAGGACGGACAGGAGAAGGAGACGATGAGCTCAACTTACAAAGCACTGGACAAAGAAGTGAAGAAGAGTGCTAGGAAGGACAAAAGACGATTCTACGACAACCTGGCCACTGAAGCTGAGAAGGCAGCAGGCAAAAGGGACCTGAGGACACTATATCAGATAACCAAATCTCTATCCGGGAAGAGACCAACACAAGCGAAACCTATAAAAGACAGCCAAGGGAAGCCCATTACCAAGGAAGAAAAACAGATTAAACAATGGGCGGATCACTTCAAAGGACTCTTGAACCGACCATCACCTGCAACCCGTCCAGAAATACCAACAACAGCGCACACACAACTGCAAGTTGACACCAATCCTCCAACGAGAGCTGAAGTCTTGAACGCAATCAAACTTCTGAAAGCTGGAAAAGCAGCCGGACCAGATGGAATACCCCCTGAAGCACTGAAAGCAGACCCAGAGACTACAGCAGACATGCTGACTCCATTATTGCAAAAGGTCTGGAAGGAGGGAAAGGTGCCTACTGACTGGAGGAAAGGTTACCTCGTGAAACTACCAAAGAAGGGCGACTTACGCCACTCTGCAAGAACTGGCGAGGAATCATGCTCCTATCGACGCCAAGTAAAATCCTGAGTCGCATCATCCTGGAGAGATTAAAGGACGCACTGGAGACAGAACTCCGACCAGAACAAGCTGGATTCAGGAAAGGCAAATCATGTACTGACCAAATTGCAACTCTACGCATCATCATCACAGAACAAAGCATGGAATGGCAATCAAACCTCTACCTCAACTTTATAGACTTTGAGAAGGCCTTCGACAGCGTTGACCGTGAAGTAATTTGGAAATTACTCGAGTACTATGGCGTACCCCAAATATTCATCAACCTTATTCAACAGCTGTACGACAACGGCACCTGCCAAGTGATCCACAACGGAAGACTCAGCGAGGCGTTTGGAGTAAACACAGGAGTCAGACAAGGGTGCTTACTATCACCAATGATATTCCTAATTGTGGTGGACTGACTGGATTATGCGTCAGACAGTGGGAAACGAGAAGACAGGGATATCCTGGACCGACGTGAAGAACCTAGAAGACCTGGATTTCGCGCGTGGATGATTTATGTTTGATGTCACACACAATCGAAGACTTACAAGCGAAAACCGACAAACTGGTCGAAGAAGCAGCCGGCGAAGACAGGACTCCAGGTGAACATAGACAAGACGGAGGTTATGAAAATAACCAACCAACCAACAACAACAGCACAGCAACATCCAACGTCAATCACCATCAACGGGAGGGATTTGAAAGAGGTTACTTCATTCACTTATCTAGGGAGCATTGTCTCAACTACAGGCGGAACGGACGAGGATGTCAAATCGAACGAGAATCGGGAAGGCGAGAAACACATTCATCAGCCTGAAATCAATCTGGAAATCTTCGTCACTCAGCATCACCAACAAAATTCGGATTTTCAATACAAACGTCAAGTCAGTCAGTTCTTCTATACGGATCAGAAACTTGGCGGGTCACAAAGAATATTTCCAAAAGGCTGCAGACCTTTATTAACAACTGTCTTCGCTCAATACTGAAGATCAGATGGCCGGAAAGAATCACCAACAAGGAATTATGGGAACAAACAAAGCAAGAACCAATCGCCCAACAAATATGCAGGAGAAAGTGGAGATGGATCGGACACTCGCTGAGGAGACCGCTGGGTGACATCGCGCGCCAAGCCCTCGAGTGGAACCCGAAAGGGAAGCGGCGTGTGGGACGTCCAAGGGTGACATGGAGGAGATCGTGTGAAGAGGAGTTGAAAGAATATGGATTAACATGGATGCAGGCGAAAAGTATAGCAGAAGACAGAAGAAAATGGAGACGTGCAGTTGAAGCCCTATGTTCCACTAGGAACCCAAGGGAGCAATAATAATTATATATATATATATATATGGTAAGAAATCAGAGTTTATACAAAAAAACGTATATTTTACAGATCACAGACAACAAATATAGAAAAAAAGGGAAATATAAACTTGAGCGATGAGAAATCTAAATAAACATAAAATTGTATTTTACTGGATGATATTTATTGGACAAATCTTTATGTTATGAGGCAGATTGTTTAATTAATGGAATCTCCAAAATAGCAGAAGCTTCAGGACGATTGAATGGATTTATATCCAAAAGTTTCAGAACGAAGTCAGTCTAAAACAAATCATGAAAATAAATAATTAGATTGACAGCTTAACAACCAGTAGGTCATGCGATTTATAGAGGTTAAAAACTGCATAATTACATTATGTCAGTAAGCCTAACGTGCGAATTTACGTAATACTAACCTAAGGACTTTTTTCTAGAATTATTTCTTAACTAGTTCTGTTGATCAATGTTGCAAATAAAAATTACAGTACACTTGTGGTTAAGTTCATAGAAATGAAAGTAAAAGTTAAGCGAAATATATCCGGAATTTATTATAACAGCAAAAACGGCAGGCATCATTAGCATTGGACAATATAGTTACATTCTCTTATATCAAATTCCTGATGGTCAACTTTATTCAGAACACATTTAGAGCTGCTGTTATCTTCAAGGAGCGATGATTTACCTTGGTTACATCATAATAATGAGCCAGAAATCAACAAAGAAGAGAACGGAGTTTTTAGCTGAGTTGAAGAATATAGTTTGCAATGAGGATGTAGGAAGTGACACTTCTAGCTTACTATGAATGAATACTACTCTACTATTGTTTGAAAAATATCCACACTCTGATTTTAAAATGTTTGTACAATTCAACAGAATAAATTTGTAAACATTCTTTGGATCTATAACTCTCCATTATGCATGACTCTATCACTGTATGACAAATACGCAAAGCAAAACCATCTGGTCAACGAAAATGAAGGATCATGTTGTTCTCAAAAGTATAGTTAGGCTTTTTATCATCTACTCAGAAATTTTTACCATTCACTATTTATCACAGCTACTGATCCATCAAATAATGACATAGTTCTCCGAATTCCCTACTTTTCTGACAGATCCATAAGGAACAAAACTCATAGATCAAAACTGAATACAAGTATAACAAAAGTATGAGGTGTAGGATTACTAGGGTGTACCAGGTAGATTGGTAAGGATGAATTACTTTTGAGTTGTGCTCTTATCTGCCTTTCCCACCAATTAGTTTTTGCTTACTTTATAAAAGCATGAGTAGCCTTATATTTTATACATGATAAATTTATTTAGATGATGAGCAATTGGTCTGAATCTGCGAACTAGAATGAACTCCTACTACCACTTTTGCTTTTGTTATATTCAAGTTTGTCCTACGTAATGACCTTTACAACAGGCTAATCAAGAAAGGGTAATCTTTTGTTTGTGATAGGCAATAGTGTAACTGATCAACTATCGCGTTTAACCATTCCTATGTGCATGCTCCTATGCTAGTGTAATACGTATATAAGTTGCTTAGTGCCAGTTTAATCATTCAGAAGGTGTAAGAAGCATTATTCTACATTGTTGCAAACGGGTAAGAAATGATCGATAAGTGCCGTAATTGCAAATTTTTCAACAGTGTGTCAGTCAGAATTTAAATTTAACAAATACTGATCACCTATTCTAGAATAATCAGGCAACCAAACAATCATATTCATCACACTAATAAACGCCCAAACGTTAATCAGATAACAACCAATAGGATTTCCCCACGTATAATAGCCGCTCAATGATCGGCCCGGTGTTGCAGCACATAATTAGAGGGTGATAATTTTTAGCTTGACTATTGCAATTATAAACCTGTGATCAAAGTACCTCTCCTTGGCTCGTTTGGAAATACACGTTCCCAATATTCGTGTATGAGTCTTTTAGAAGTAATCAGTTCAGGTCAGGGTAAATCTACTTGAAGATTGTCAAGCATTCATCATTGTCAAACATATTCCTGGAAAGATTCAGCAGACTTAACAAGCAGTCATTCATCCCTGAGAAACAAATCATCAATTACAAACGTGCATAAATATGGTAGACGCACTGAATTATTTGCACTGTTGGAGACTTAGTCATCCACATGAACAAACCCGACCTTCTCACTTCTCCGACCTTGAATTCAATTTCAAGTTCCACATTTTATTATTTTATTATATACACCTTTGGTTCGTTTTATTAAACTCGTACGTGAAATCCACTCATTTTTGTTCCTGTACTCCTCTTGTTCATACACAAGTGTGGCGCATCTTTCTTGGTGCCATATTGTACCAAGTTTTTTTTGCGTTTAAACAAATAAATAAATAATATCTTGTTCATATTCAATTTTTCAACTATTTTACCATATCCTGTGAACAGTGTACTACTTGTAGTCGACACACAATATGCTACCGAGATATAGAAACTATTAATTTGTTTTCTATACGAGGATAAGAAATACTGAAGTAGGTGAAGTGAGTTTAACCCTGTCACCTAATGTGCAGAATGAGGAAGCACTGTGAATCTACACAACACTAATCAACTTCATGGCTAATTCTTCACTCATATGTACACAGAAAATAAGTAATCACATAACTCGCATAACGACGGTGGTAAAATGATAGACAGACTTACTTCGACTGGATTAAAAGTGACAAAATCCTTTGGGAGTTTTTGTTGTTTTGCACGTGTCAAGGTGCAAATCCTTTCCATTGATGTATTGAATATAATCAACAGTTCCAAGAAGATTAATCCCAATGAAAAGATGTCCACTTTATGGTCGTAACTATCACTTCGTTCCTATAAAGTAAAAAAATACAAAAACATTTACGAACGCAAATAATTAAGTTCGTTCACGGACTGATATCAGTTGAAGAACCAATGAACCTCTGAGCTTAGACGCCCGAGGTGTGCATTCAAGTCCCCAGCCACCATTACGATATCCCTCTGACCCACCTGTTTCAAGAGATCGCTAAGTTGGTAGTAGAATTCATCCTTCATTGCATCCGGACTGCAGTCTGTATGTACACAGGCGAAGACAACAAATAGGCACCGCCTATTCGGTCTACCACTTCTTACTTTCATGTAACCTTTCAGCCTCAAAGCACATAAACGACTATTAATGGGAATCCAGTCGAGCAATGCAGCTTCGGCTCTAGAGCTCAGTGCAACACCGACGCCAGCTACGCCGGATGCCGACACCACAGGGACCCGGACAAGCGCAGATGGTACATACTACTAGAACTTCCACATGGAGAAGATAATCGAAGCACTTCACTGGGATCTTGAATACGGGTCACCGAAATGCAGCAGATATCGATAGCGAAGTTTTCCATTTTTCTTACCAAACCTGCCTCTTTTCCAATTCGCATTAGTCTCCAAACATTATAGGTGGCAAGCTTGAACTCGGCACGCGGTTTCAGGATATCCGTGTTGGGTGTCACATTGTGGACAACCATTTTGAAGGCTACTCAGTGACATCTCGAAACGGCACAGATAAGCTGGGAATTCAGACAAAGGCGAAAAGCTTACGAAAATGAAGTCACCCAGAATAGCAAAAGTAAAACAAAGGAGTCTATGTATAAAAATAAAAGTAAGGTTGGAAAGAGATGTGTCAGTTGAAACATTATTATTGTTTGAGAGCATTGCTAAGAGCGGGCAATAGGTTTCACTGAGTTTGTTGCTTCAGTTCATTGATTGTGTGAAGGCTCAGGAGCCCAGACCGAAGCACATGGTTGTTTCAAAGGACCACCCCCCGAGCCTCTGACTTAGAGTCTAATCCGCAAGGCAGCAGAGCAGCGTCAGGAGCTACTTTCCCATGGTTGCCAGTGACCAGTACAGGTTCATACGCCATTCGATCCAATTCGATTCTGGAGCCCATGATTCCCATAGTAACTGCTTTTGGTCTAACCGTTATATAAACAACCTCCCTAGCATGGTAAGACCTGCAGAAACACGAGTCCCAGTCAGTGTAACTTGTTTAGTCACCACAGTATTCAAGCCCGACCGCCACGACAAGGTATTTGTCGGTCGGGCCTTCGCAAAATATACAATCACAACCTATAGATGAGTAGCCTTTGTCTCAGGTTCCACTGAAAACTAACTCAACAAGGATAACAGTCAGGTACTCTAAAAATACCATGTTGCTATGCATGAAAGAAAAGCGCGTCCAATAATATTGCTTACTGACCATTATTAACTTATGGATAAAGGTTCGGTAAAAGTTTATAAAAAACATTCAAGTGGTTGTACACAGAAAAAACTGTCTTTTAGTGTTACATGTAACAAAACTATTCCAAAGGTATGTGCGCCATCATCAGTAACTTTCACATGCACGCAAAATTAGTTTCTTCGATTCATTCAAAGAAGTCCTTATGCATTAGCTGATGTTTCACAAATAAAACCAGTTTTTATCTCACGATGCAACACTATGAACTGCCCTCCCCATTAGTTAGTTCTAACTAGCACCAGAGTACAAAAACAGTTGATATTATGTACGTCATTAGAGAGACTTTTTTTCTTTCATTCTTTCGCCCTCCGAGTGGAATATATAGCTTCAAGATTCAGCTTTGAAGATTCAGCAGAAACGATGTTGGTTGATTTATTTTGTTAGATACGGTCGCTAGCCTCGGACCTAACCTAATCTCCCTTGCTGGGTTAATAAACTAAGTAGGAGATTGAGGTGCGTAGGTAGGAAATCGAACCAAGACCACGTGGATGCTTGGTGAGCATTTTACCAGTGAACCACAGACAGACACTGAAGAGAAATACATCTTACATTTGCAAGCTAGGAAAGCAAAGTTCCCAATATCAGAAAGTTTCGATCCACAATAAAAAAAAATGTCAACAATACCCTACTTTTTCAATTCTCTACTGTATCAAGGTGTTACTTCTTAGTAAACGGACTAAAGAGTATTTAAATCATACTACCTGATATCGTGTTGAGTCATATAAAAAACCACCAAAATAAAATGGACATGTGCCATTTAATTTGACCTTTTATTCATTTCTGTCTGTCTGTTTTCGACATAGAACTTTGCACAAATGTGCGGAAGTTCAAGTCGCCACATTCCGTGTAGCACGCGAAGCAAGAGAAGAAAGTACAAGAAAAGCATAATAGAAACAGTGAGCAGAGGTGTGAGACAAAGGAGTAATAAAGAAATACAAAACAGTTTCATTGAAGATCATAAGTCACAGGGAGTGGATGCATCTGCGCCACTGAGAACGATTTTGAGCCATGTCACCAATTGTTTCCAACCATAGATTTTTACCGTCCCGAGGACCCCAGCCTGGAAGTCTACACCTTTCTACGTGGCTTAGACCAACTGTTGTGGATTTCATTGACTGATGCCAAGTTTTTGTTTGACCGCCGCTAGCTTTTTTCCAGCCTGACCCTATATCCGCTAACATTGCTCGTCGAGGGAGGCGATGGCTTGGCATACGTAACACATGTCCTAACCATCTCAGTCTTTGTAGCTTCACGACTTCGTCGATTGATTTCCCCTGTTTACCTAGAACTCTACGCCTAACCTCCATGTTGCTCACCTTATTATGCCACTTTACACGGGAAATAGAACGCAGGCACCTATGATCAAAGACAGCTAGTCTTTTCATGTCTTCCACTCTCAGTGGCCAGGTCTCACAACCATAAAGGAGGACGGAGCGGACTGATGAGCAGTACACCCGCCCTTTGGTCGATAGTCGAACATCTCGTCTACGCCAGAGTCGGCGTAAACTAACAAATGCGAAACGAGCCCCTTGTATTCGTGCTGAGATTTCGTCAGAGATCAGCCCGTTGGGGCTGATGGTACTTCCCAAATAAGCGAAGCGGTCAACGTGCTCTACCACTTCACTTTATTCATTTCAGAAAGTAAGATTCGTCTTATACACCACCGAGGATAGTAATAGTAAGGAATCTTAATTCTTAAGGAAAGATTTCGAGCAGAATGGAAAACAACCACGTAACGTAGAATAGAGGGTAAAGATAAACAATTTATACAAATTCAGATGTGATAAGCTTATTGAAGAACAAAATGCACACACGCACACACTCTTAGAATATGGAGACGAAGTTAATGAAAAAAGTCATGAAAATCGTTTGACAAAATCAATAATAAAAAACATTTTATTTTGCAACAAAACATACAGCTGATCACCTGAGCAGATTACTATCAAAGAAATGTTAACTACATTGTCTACAGTTAGATACGCATCTATTTGTTTACTTGTCCTTATGCAGTTAAATTCATCACATGTTTGTTGAGTAAAACCTCCTTATAGTGTTTCTATGCATCACCTATAAGCTTGGTGCAGTAAATAAAGTCGAGTCATCAATATATGTGTGTCTGCGTTTTACGACATGTAGTTGATCATAAATATTCAACTTTCAGCCCACAGATGCATTTTGCGTCACAGGATCTTCAAAAATGCATCATCTGAACAACAGCAATAAATTACGAGATCCCATAGTAGAACCCAGTTAATTAAATACACCATTTACAAAATTTTAGGAGTCCAATATTTGTATTTCATTGCACTGCAGAGGTGTGAACCACTAGTCTAGGTGTTTAACTTCCAACTACTCGGTCACGGTTTCGAATTCCACTCCACCTAGTGAAGTTTGGGCTTCTACATAGTATCTTAAGCCTAACACAATGGTTGTAGTTCATCGCCAATTGTATGAAAATGCAAGTTATTGATAAGTACCATTTCTACCTTGTTGGACTGACATTTTTTTCTTAAGTGGTAATACTTTATTTCTTTTGGTTTCTTATTTACTGTGTTTGATATAAACAATACTCACATTTCTAGATTTTTAAGCCCTCACTTTTAATGTGTAATTTATCTGGGTCTACTTTTTAATCGATTTGATAACCCATGTTGTAATCTAATAAATATTATTGTACTCTACGGTTTTAGTAATTTATTTAACTATCATTTTCATACTGAATAATTTCTTTTGAATATCCTTAGCTATAGCCAAGACAGAAATTTTGTTGAAATATGTCTGAGAAACATTTCTTTCTTATCGCCGAATAAATGCAACGTGTACGCGACTACTTTTTTATTTCAGCTTGATTCCACACCGTATTTTTTGAAACAGGTATGGAATTTTCAGCATGGGATTCGCCCCTACAAAATTTAAGATGCTGCTACAGGACTGGACCACGTCAACTCCTAACTTAGTGATAGGGAATGAAGTGATAGAACATGTTGACCACTTCACCTATTTGGGAAGTTGTATTAGCACCAACGGACTGATTGGCGATGAAACCTCAGCACGGATCCGAAAAGCTCGAGCTGCTTTCGCTGACTTACACCATCTCTGGCGTAGGCGTGACATCCGGTTATCAACCAAGGGACGTGTGTACTGCTCAGCAGTTCGCTCCGTCCTTCTCCATGGCTCTGAAACATGGCCAATACGCGCTGAAGACATGAAAAGGTTGACTGCTTTCGATCATAGATGTCTGCGATCTCTGTCTCACGTTAGGTGGTTTAATAAGGTGAGTAATGTTGACGTTAGGCGTAGTGTTTAGGCCAAACAGGGAAAATCAATCGACGAGGCTATAAAGTTACATAGACTTAGATGGCTAGGTCACGTGCTGCGCATGCCTAACCACCGCCTCCCCCGACGGGCATTGCTAGCTGATATAGGTTCAGGTTGGAAAAGAGCCAGCGGTGGCCAAACAAAAACATGGCATCAATCCATGAAATCCTTGACAGTTAAACTGAGTCAGGTAGGGAGATGCAGACTCCCGGGTTGGGGGCCTCGGGACTCTAGGAATCAATGGCTGGAGACAATAGGTGACATGGCTCAAAATCGTTGTCAATGGCCAGCGCAGATGTATTCAGTCTCTGTAATCTTTCATATTCCTTTCTACCATTACTCATTCTGTTTCACTCTTATACTTGCCAAACTCTATTGATTCTCTTCACTCATCTTCTTGTCTACCTTGTGTGCCAATCGGAACGTGGCAACTCGAACTGCTGCACTTCGGTGCCAAGTTCTATGTTGAATCCAGACAGAGAGACAGACAGGAAAACATAAAAATAGAGTGATATCAAAACAAAAAGTTGATCTCGTTAGGAATCTAGAGAATCTAGAAACTGAGGAGAACTAGACACCTCTCTTGTTTTAGTTTGTACGCAATCCCAATACCCCTCCCAGCTAGGGACCGCGTTAAGAAGCAAGCCCGTCAGATGCTTATGGGTCACAAATTGTAGATATCAGTTTGCAATATGGCATCATCGGTGAGGTATACTGTAGATTGCCAGAAGTTATTAAATCCTGACTGACTTCCTAAGCCGAAAGTCCTGAAACACATGAAATCCCTAAAAACTCAACAAACGAATGTTACAATGAAGGGCGAAAACAGTACATAAAAATGTGATTAAATTTAAGATACTGAAAATCTAAAAAGAAATTCAAAGGTGGTAAAGTGTTAACATTACCCTTAACTATTTTAGGTATTATGGAGAACGCATATTCCAGCCAATGATTACACATAAAGTAACTTAATTATCTAATAAATCAGTTTTTGTCACTGAAACTTGAATTGTGATATCACTTTCACCACACAGGACTCAGATTTCATTAAGTAAACAACAACAGAAAATGAAACTAGTTAAATTAGTCATATTTAGAGACAAATTACGAGACAATATTTTCACAATTTACATTTACTAGAAAAACTCACCTGTTCAGGACTCATATACAGATCTGTGCCCACATGGTCAGTATGTCGACGTGCAAAGACAGTACGCTTTTGTTGTACAGTACTGATGTCTTCTAAGGGACGTAGTTGACGATCAATACAATTACCATGTCCGTCATTATTATTATTATCAGTAGTATTCAAGTAGTTTTCATTAATCATTTGAGGGTATGAAAAATGTTTATTTCGGTCACTGCAATTCACCGGCAACATATCTTGTTGACTTGATTTTTCATCTGACATAGAAGTGACTAAACCGAAATCAGCCAATTTAAGACGATTGCTTAAGTCAAAAAGGATATTAGAAGGTTTCAGATCACGATGCATTAAAGCATGATTATGTAAATAGGCTACAGCGTCTACAATTTGACGAAACATGGAAATTAATTCGACACGTGGGCGTGATTCTGGAGCATTGTGTACAGCAAGCCAATCACGTAGACTTTTTGGAGAACACAATTGCATTTGAATGTATAAATAACATGTATATCTGACTTCGTGATTTAGCTGTACTTTTGCAGATCTTTTGTTCAATGAATATTTTGAAATGTTTGTATTAGCAGATGAGTGTTTCTCAGAACCAACTGGATTTTCAAATACAATAAGACTATCATCACCATCCGAATTAGGCTTGCAATGTTTATGAGAACTATAGGAAAGATGAAAACAAAATGAATAAAACCCTTAGGATTCATTTTGAAACAATATCAACTGAAATACACATATTTAACGTCTATTAAACCTAATAGTGTGTGAACATGACATTATCATTAGAAGTAGTAGAGATGATTGTAACCACAGTGGGCATACCTGAAAGAAATAGATCCATCTGATCCTACGGAATTTTCTTCAACACTTAACGATATACTTGAACGACGTGAATCAAAATTTGATGAGGAAACAATACTTGACAAACGATTTTCATCATTTCCATAATCATGACCACTATCACCACTTCTACTGGTACAGTCATCCGATATATCCAATACCAAGGCGTCACGTGATTCCTGCCAACCAGCTGGAGGATATTCTTTCCAAGCTCGATGATAGCGAACTATGCCTGGATGATCGAGAGTAGCCAAAGCTAATCAGAAAGCAAAATGAAAAATAGAAATTAATCATAAACTTCCCATGAAAACAAACAAAACAACACTGAGTAGAATAGTTTCGCCTTCTCCTACCTACATCTCCCTAGCTGGAAATCATTGATACTACTATTAAAGCTATGAAAACATCCTACCAACTAATTAATTATGTTTACGTGAATGCATGAATGCATAGTTAACCAAAAGATACACTAAGGAAAGGTTCAATAGAATGTCTGAGTTACTAAAACAATACCACCATAACAGAGAAGATAAAAAATCACGTTCTATGAATATCCGAAGGAATGAGATATTGCTACCATAACAGCAAAAAGGAATTCACTTAATTAATTAATTAATTAGTTGAAATTGGGTCAATGTAAAAGTAGAACATAAATGCGGATTCCGAATAACACAGTCTAAAATTATTGTCTTGATTACAAGCAGCAGATCGTTGGTTAAGACTTCGTGTTAAATAATAAGTTGAAGACAGTCGTTCTATACATATAAAAAGATTTCCGATTCTTCAAGGTTGAACACAGACTGATATCAGTTAGGGGACCATTTAAATCCAGGGAGTACTAGACAGTTGTTTTGTCATAGTCTGGGACTCTTCACTAGTGCACACCCATAACCCCCATTTGGGACTGAACCCAATAACTTCAAGTTACGAGGCGAAGTTGCTGAATATTCAGTCACTGGGATGGAGTCCAATGGCCCATTAAGTCTAATTGTTATCGACTTGCGCCTTTCGTCATCAGTGCAGTCATTTTCCTCTTCAATACTTTCAGTGGACATGAAATAGAGTGCTGATATTATAATAATGATGAAGCTTTATTTCACACAACATGCGAACATATGGTACAAAAATTTTCAGCGTAGTTAGTTCCAAAATGCTTTTTTCTTCATACAGGATTTACGTGTAAAGAAGAAGAAGTGCACAGCGTTTACTTGAAAGCAAGTCAAATCAGCGCACAAATGTATGTATAGGTCATTTGATATAACTGGACGATTAAAACAATGATAAATCCAGATGGAACTGAGCATTTCGGTAGTCCAGTGATTCAAGCAGGCCGTGCTATGGACAACATTTATAAGATGCAAAATGAAGCGGGGCGGCCTCCAATCAGGATCTAGTTCATATTGTGGTCTGGGAATAGTCGCATTGGTTAACCTTGGGCTGATCGCCAGCCAATCGGAACTGTTTGCTGTCCGCTAACCTAGCCAACTTTAAATGTGGCTAGAAGTGTATAAATGTGACGTGTTTTTCATTTTTTCCTTCACTTTCCTCAGTGGAACATAGGGCTTCAAGCTACAGGCTTGAAGTTTCCCTAGCAGCGTTTATTTTACATGATGGGGTTGCTAGCCTCATACCCAACTTTTCCTCTGTACCAGCATTATTTCTGGCTTAGCGAGGTAAAGGAGTGGCGTCGGCCGGGAATTGAACCCCGGACCATGTGCATAGTCGACGAGCGTCCTAACTGCTAAGCCACCGACGCACTCGTGTTTTTCATTAGTAAAATAAATTCCACTGCTAGTCCTCTGCAGTTACAGATATATTAAAGACTAGTGTAAGAAGAAAACACATATCACCTTTTTTTACCAACAGGGTAATTGATCAAGCATTGACTTTCCATCATGAATTTTATTGATCAAACATTTACAGAAATATTTAGTCTGAATATCTTCTGCAAACATTCAAGATTGTTAATCGTAAATTGTGTGCTAGCAGTAAAATTTAATTTCAAAACACACTTAAACTAATCCATACGTGTTGAGTACTGACACGAAGTTAGCATGAATACAAAAGTCCTGATAAACATTTTCTAATATAGGAAAGACATACAGGAAACATTAGTCCTTTTCATATAAGTATTCTTTGGGAAGATTTTGAAGTAGCGACAAAACTAATTGTTAAGGAGTAATGCTATGCATTATAAACTACAAAAGTGTCAAGTCATCAGATTGCAAAAGGTTATTCTGTAAATTTTTTTAACTAGAGTTCAAAACAAGAAATCTCCCCCTTCCCCAAAAAAATATTTACTTACTTTTTATTTCATATTATTTTATGTGTTTCCCTTGTTTTTGTTTTTTACGGAGTATTTTAATAGAACTCTGAAGTGTAACAGTTACAATTGATATGCAGGGCTATGTCATGTTAAGTGTCTATTGGATTTTTAAATGATATATCCCAAAAACCCACTACACAAAAAACCTAAATTCGATTCTTACAAATGAAGTTTAAATAACTAGATACATATAATTGGTATGAACGTTTACATGATAAGATCGTGCGAATAGGTAATGAAAGCTGAAGGTTAACCGTGAAGCCAGATAGAGAAAAATAACTGCAGAGAACAAGGTGAAACAGAGATGTGCAGTTGATGCCCATTGTTCTACTCGGAACCCAGAAGAATAATGATAACGTGATATTAGATATATCAAAGGGAATTTGCGAAATAGAAACAATGATGTAGAGAGACAACAACAACAACAACAATAACTTAAGATACAACTCAGTTATACAAAGTAGAGCAGAATTAGTTTGTAAGCATAACTTTACTTTTCAAAATCCGAAGAGCTGATAACTTAATTTCTGCTTTCTCAACATGGTTATCTTATACACAGCAAGAACTAAGTCTGGTCTACGAGCTCGCCTTGTAACCAAAAGGTCGTGGATCCGAACCCCGGTTGGTGCGTACTGCTGAAGAGTCCAAAACTAGAGTGAAACAGTTGTTCAGTACTTCCAGGTTTTCCAGTGATTCTCTAATTGATGGCAGCCCATGATGAAATCCTCCATCCAATCAAGCTAAATCCCTACAAAACCAATACTTGAAAACTAAGTTTTAAGCTAGTGGAGGGAATCAAATGTATGAAGTATTAGTATAGGTAGCAGAAATTTTTTAGGCTAATCAACACGTTGGCATATCGATAAACCTCTGTGATAACACCAACAAATAAACTGAAATTTCACCACCAATTTTAGCAAATTCTAGTTCCCTGTGCTAACAAATACCTTTAAAGTACAAATAAATACACGTGCTGATTGAAAAAAACCTGCTTATGCCTACTGAGGTAATACTTAAAGTTTTAAGCGATTAGTAACACTGTCATTCAATGTGAAATGGGAATAATGACAAAATTATACTTCAAAAAATAATTAATAAGTAACAACACATATGTGCGTAACTACAGGTTTGTGTAAACAAAGTTTTTGCGGTTTTATGAATGCCAGATAGGAAGTATGTTGACTGAGAAAAGAATAGAGTGACAAAAACTCCTGAATGGTAGTCATCAATTAGAGGTGTAGCTTAAAATCTGTATTGACTGATAAAAACACAACTAATATACACTAAATGAATTTCCATAGTCCAGAAATATATATAATAACATCTTTATTCTGGACAGTATTTATAAAATGTACAGAATTTTCAGAGGACTTTATTACATGATTTTTTTCCCTTTGTACAATCAATATCTTCAGGTAAAATATTAACTGACAGTATCTCCTGTGATACACTGGTCTCTGAGCTGAAACACAAACCATTCCATTATGATATATCTGCTTTGTCTTCTTCAAAAAATCCACGATATCTAGTTGAAAGTCAATTAGAAGATGTTCAGAAGTACATTTTGAGACCCAAAGACATAACTGAAGGACAGTTAGCTCATGTATTGGAACACGTTGCTACCCACAATCAGGTCTTTCCTTAAGTTTAGTAGAAACTTGCGAATCAGAAGCTTGTAAACATTTTAAATGCACACATAAGAGTAGATGATACAATTGGAGGTCATATCTTGACCGAATATAAGAAACCAAACGGGAGAAAATATGTGCAGTAGAGAGATGGAATTTTCAAAAAGGCCGCCCATAATATATATATATATATATATATATATACTGAACAGTTTATGGACTTCTTTTTCATTCATTTGTGTTTCCAGTGGAACATAAGGCTTCAAGCTTAGGCTTTAAAGTTTCATTACTGGTAGTGCCTTTTTACGAGGTGAGGTTGCCAGCCTCGCGTCCAACCTTTACACTCTTTGCCAAGTTCAATACTGGATACACGAGGTTTGGGAGTATGTCAACCGGAAGCCGAACCTGAACCATTCGCGGGATTGGAGAGCATTCTACTACTGAACCACTCACGCATTTTACGGTCTTAGACTACCAAACGGTGTCGCATATATTCGCGTGAATTTCCCAATCATATTTACTATTTATTTCGTTGATTGGTTGACCTTTCTAATAACGAGTTTAGATAACCTCCACTGATAAATCAACTTCAAACAGTGAGCTACAATTTTAAACACTATAGCATGTGCTACAGTAAATGCACTTAAATAGCTTTCATACTATAAGTGCAATTCCATAGCTTGATGGTAAATCGAACTACGCTATTAGCTGAATTACAATCTACGGTAATCGTCAGTAGTTTATTGAAATAAACAGATCTATTGAAAAACAGTTCAAGGAAAGAAATCCTTGTGTGATGGTTGTCTATGAGAAAAGAACAAAATATTGATAAATCTAAATACAGTATGATTATTAACCAATACGTTCATGATCCTGGTTTCCATTTCCTCTTTAATTATCGCCTGTTATATACTATATACATATATTAACATTATAAGTGATATTTCATTAAAGCATACCTTTCACTTCTCGTAGAAACACATTTTTATCATCATCAGCATCATTCATCTTAATACGTTTGATAGCATACCGGCAACCATCTAAACGATTTTCAACTTCAAACACTTGTCCAAAACCACCACGTCCAAGGCGACGTATAAATTTGAAATCTGTTTCAAATGGCGATATGAAGGATGACTGATAAAAGGGACCAGAAACAGACTGATTAGGTGGGGGAGACGATGATGAAGTATTTGAAGTGGAACAGGATGGACATACTGCTGTTTCATTTGAACTTCCCGACGAACTATTTGGTTGAACAACAACTGATTCAAGATAACATGTTTTCTCGTAGAATGAGTTATTTCTTAACCTAAATTATTGGAAATAAAGTAAACGAAAAAAAACATTTAAAAATAGCATTAGCAGTATGAATCGAAAATACCAACAAACTGAAGCATAGTAATATTTTACGCTTTACTATTAGTAATCAGCTGACTGACTGGTTTGTATTCTATCCTAATAGACAAAGCAAACTGAAGTCTTCTATACAGTTAGAGATTAATAATTAATTTCTGTATGCACAAAAGTGTGACTCGCATTGTACCACACACACACACACACACACACACGCATACACAAATGTGATGATCCAGCACTCTAAAGCTCACTTCGTTAAGCTTGTTTGCAGTTTGCTATTATGTAATATCATGATTTGTTTTCTGGTCTGTTTGACCACTCGTTTATAAAACCACGCTATTTTATTGTTCTTCTCACCGCATATTTCTTCATTATTCACTAATGTTATTAATAGTATTATTTTATTATGACCTTGTGCAAACGACTTCCATCATACCACTTTATTGACAAATCACCATGATTAGTTTGTATTTGATATTTACCTATGTAGTGAATTATGTTATAGCAAAGCCTGATGAGATCTAACTGAAAGCTATACTGTTCGCTTGCATGTTTTGATGAATATTTTACTGTAGAAATCCTTAACATTTTAAACTAAAATAGAGAAGACTTGATGACTCTGTGAAAAATGATGTATGCACTGAAAAACCGAAATTACTAGGTGCATGGAGGGAGTCTTTTCAAAAATTTAAAACAATTAGTCCCTTTTATAAATTTTGAATTGTGACAAGCCAAAAGATGCAGGTGTCAGACTACCAACTTCGTCTATAGCTAAACATCTAATCGAGATGAACCATAAGATTGATGTTAACTCAGCCTTTAAGGTCATCTATGAAGACGGTCAAGGGCGTTTACTGAAATACGCTGAGGCTATGGCTATTCATAAACTTAAGTCCCCCCCCCTTGTGTATTCAAAAACAGTTTGTTGTCACTCTTAACCTACCTTGGTAATCCTTATTTGATTGGATTACTAAACGTTTGTGTTAATTATTCTTAATTCCTTTTTTATCACTTTGTTTGATTTGACTTTTCCATATATACTGACTTGACAAGTAAATGTGTGATCAGATTGTTCGAAATGTATAGCGCAAATACATCACATTTTTCGGATAATCTCCGTCTTCTAATATCGCTATCAAAATTACTAGGTCTCAAATTTCTAGAAATTAAGTAGATGAATCCTCCACGTCTGCCTAACAGATAAACACATATGATAAGGACTTTAATATGCAACTGTCGAATATCCTGCTGATGTAAAGTTCAAGAAAGCGCCATATAATATCAAGAAATCTTCAAGAAAACACAGTGTCTGTATATGTAGACTACTTTCTAGGCTATCTATCACACAGTATTAAGTACAACTGTACCGATAGAAGACTAGAGACTTGGTAAAGGAACATTTATTTGCAATTTCGTATCTCTATATAGCCAAATTATGCACACCTTAGCCTCAAATCACCATTTGCACAGATCCTCCGTGTTGTGCTACTTTTGGCCTTCATATTGTGTTTCCTAGTGTTCCTTTCATGTCTCCCATGTTTCTCCGCTACGCTGTATCATTCGCTTTCTCTGACACAGAGACTATCTAACAGCCAATTGATGTTTTTACCCGGGTGAACGTTTCTTTATATGATACTGATAAATGTTATCAGTAGCATCCGCCACACAAAAACTAGAACATCCACTATTCGATCAGTGACAAACACCTATATACGTTCAATAAATAAGAAGAAGAATATGATACCATAAAATGAGAAAGACCTACTGTGTATCATAGTTAATTTTCATATTCATGATCCACTGTGCAGTGAAATAAAGGATAGCAGCTACTAATGCCATCTGCATGAAGTGAGTAGACAAACTAAATCCAAGAGAACGACTGGCTTCAGAATCATTAGGTGAATGATTTACAGCAATTTCGCTTGCACGTAAAAGAAGCATCACTAAGTCATTAGCACTATTAAATATTCGTTCCGGTAGACCATTGTTATAATTAGACTCTTCACTAGTTGAATGTTGTGTTTTTGTTTCTTCAGCTGAGATATCTGAATCAAAGCCAAGTAAAGGCTTAAAGTTATCTGCATTGTTTGGAAATCCTAGCGCAGTAACTCTTTCAATTGTATCTTCAACACTGTCATCCGAAAGGAGAGGTTGAATAAGTGTTGGCATTTTTGATGCTTTCGAATAAGATGCACGATAATATCCAATCAACGAAGAGGCGCCAGGCTCATTATGTTGATCTAGTACTCCATTTGCTGGTAGTGATAAGCTCTTAGAAAGATTGATCATATCAGGACTTGGAAGATCTATACCATCTTCAACCTGCAATTAAAGAAACCAAATGAGATGCAATAATTCTAGCATACCTTTATATGATTTGTAAAAACAAAACTTACGTATTCTTTTAAAGAGAGGTAAGACATAGTTACAATACCGTCAAAAGCAGTATGATAACAATTTTCAGACTACTGACGTTTGGATTTACAAAAGCTCAGCAAGCGCACACGCTAACCCACAGTCACACAGCTACATAATGACAGTTCGGAAGTTGAGTGGTAAAAAAACTGATACAACATATGCTTTCGTCGGAGCAGCAAAGGTGAATACTACACGATTGAATAAATGCTTATTCAAGATTTTTCAAAACTCGAATAAAACCAAAAATGATACTTCTAGGATTACCCTTTCTTTTCCTTATATCGAAACAAACTTGATGCAGCATATGCGCCAAAAAACATGTCACATTTAGTAAAACAATATAAAAAGAAGAGAAAAGAGAGAATAACAAGATGAGAAGGTAAGTAGCCATATTTGATGCATTCACAACAGCATGTGTTACTTCACATAAGCTTCGCTCATTGAAGACGAGGCAGACTCTAGGATGAGCATCATTGATTTCGGTTGAGCTACTTAGCCGCGTAATCTTTAGGAAATCACTGAGGAGATGGCGGAGCATTAACATATGCTAATTTGACAAATTTTACCATACAGATCTCTGGAATGTATTAACCGCCTTTCCGTTTCTCTCAAACAGTCACATGGTGAGTATACAGTGACAAGTATGGAAGGCGTTGGGGTGACTTTGTAACACATGTCGAGACAACTGAAGTTATTGTGATAAAGTGATACGCATGAGAGGATTCCCACTTTGCTAGAACATAAGCCCCGTCACTCTAAAATTTGTTATTTACTGTTGCAGGTAAACCTACATATAACAATGATCAAACGCTCAGAGTTGCAGGACATCCCCAGTTGGAAGAGACTGAATTTAAGACATAGTAAAACTGCATCCATCAATGTTTTGTAAACTCAATCTTTAACGAATATATTAATATAGCGACAGTACTGGCGGTGGCTCAGATTTCTGGTCTTTCGTACACGTCGTTGGTAACTTTGTCTACCTCGGTGCTACCAGAAGTCATACAATTGCATAAGTATACGAACTTTCTGATCACTTCTAACTGTTCTCCTGTAAAGACACGTAAAACCATAAGCTGCTGCCAACCTAGCAAGAAGATTTTCTACTTCGATGGTGCACAGAGAATACCATACTTAAGGACATTGATAATGGAATGATTAGGTAAAATTAGTGAATTATGCTGTGCCCGAGCCTTCATCCAAGAAGTTATGTTTTATCAAACCTTTAAATCAATAAACAAGATATTGTGTAGTAATAGCGCCTTTTCTACATGCGATAACAATGTACTAGACATTAGTGTGACCAAAACACAAAAAGCTACACTAGAAATGTGATCGAGATAGCTACGCTCCAAGTATTTTCGGCACTACCAATAAATCACCCACCCAAAGATTATAAGGAACTTGCATAAATATAATTACCAATACGTAACACATAAGCGACTGAATGAAAGCGTGAAGAAGAAAATCCTTCCATACAATAGGGTAGAATGAAGTTCGACTGCATAACATTTTATTTATCTGACCATGAAGCCTACGATTCCTAACTCTACCTATTATTCATTTATTTATTATTCCCTTGCGTCCCGAGTGGAACATAGGGCTACAACAACACACCTCCACTTTCTTCTATTTCCTGCTTTTCTCTTCAACTAAGTCCACGAATGACCAAACTCTTTCATCTCTTTCTCACACGATCTCCTCCATGTCACCCTAGGATGACCTACTCATCGCTTCCCATTAGGATTCCACTCGAGAGCATGGCGTACGAAGTCATCGACGGTTTCCTCAATATATGCCCGATCCATCTCCATTTTCTCCTCCAAATTGATTGAGCGATCGGCTCTTGATTGATTTGTTCGCATAGTTTCTTGTTACTAATTCTTTCTGGCCTGGATTTCGCGGATGATTTATGTTTGATGTCACATACACAAAATCGAAGACTTACAAGCGAAGACCGACAAACTGATCGAAGAAGCAGCCGGCGAAGACAGGATTCCAGGTGAACATGGACAAGACGGAGGTTATGAAAATAACCAACCAACAACAACAGCAGAAACATCCAGCGCCAATCACCATCAACGGGAGGAATTTGAGAAAGGTTACTTCATTCACTTATCTAGCAATGAGCATTGTCTCTACTAAAGGAGGAACGGACAAGGATGTCAAATCGAGAATCGGGAAGGCGAGAAACACATAATTCATCAACCTGAAACCGATCTGGAAGTCTTTGTCACTCAGCTTCAACAACAAAATTCAGTCAGATTTTCAATACAAACGCCAAGTCAGTCAGTTCTTCTATACGGATCAGAAAGTTGGCGGGTGGGTCATATAGAATATTTCCAAAAGGCTGCAGACCTTTATTAACAACTGTCTTCGCTGGCTACATACTGAAGATCAGATGGCCGGAAAGAATCAGCAACAAGAAACTATGGGAACAAACAAAACAAGAACCAATCGCCAACCAACAAATATGCAGAAGAAAGCGGAAATGGATTGGACACTTGCTGAGAAGGCCGCTGGGTGACATCGCGCGCGCGTCAGGCCATTGCTCGAGTAGAACCAGGCCGAAAGGGAAGCGGAGGGTGGGTCGTCGGTGCAAGGGTGACATGGAGGGGATCGTGTGAAGAGGAGTTGAAACAGTATGGGTTAACATGGATGCAGGTGAAAAGTACAGCAGAAGGAAGACAGAAGTGGCAAGTGGAGACGTGCAGTTGAAGCCCTATGTTCCACTAGGAACCCAAGGGAACAATAATAATAATAATTTGATCTTCAATATGGAGGGAAAGCAGGTGTTGATGAAAGTCTGTAATCTTAAGTCTACCTAGACAGAGCTTTATTTATTCATAACAGACAAATATAAGGATGCTTAGTTGCAATAAATCCAACCTGAGTTAATTATTGTACAGGATAAATTTGGCAGTCTGAGAAATCATTTCAGCCGACAAACGTTATGAACAACAAATAATACTCTACAAACACTTCTCTAATTGAACAGTTGTACCGGTTTTTTTCTCACACTTAACACAACATTTCAGAAATTATAACACGTGGGAAAACGAAGGAAAATCTGCTAAAACATCCTTTCGTAGTAGCATACAATAAGCAGATATTTCAGAAAGAAATGAAACTGCAGAAAGTAGTTCAAAGGTTTGTAAATCGCATTCGAAATCCACAGATATTAAAAATAAACACATAAAAGACTCCAGTAAAGTAACCAAGACAAATGAACAACGGGGTACTTAATTTAGAAGGACAAGGCATAAAACTAACGAAACATACTACACCAATCAGCATTAGGCTAAGTGGGGATAGTTAAACCTGACAGAGAACACAGAAAATAATAAGGTCTAGTTATGTTGTCCACCAACACTATAAGTACAGAATAAAATACACACACGTTTATTATACAAACTGACCTGAACATACAGCTGACCATTCAAACTACCAAGGTAAATAAGGCGATCACGTGAAACACATTTGTTTTTCTGACCATCTGTTGATGAATGAGTCTTTTTTCTGTTGAACAGGTTCAAACCTTTTTCCTTCAGTACTTCAAATCGACGAACAGCAGAAGATTTTTCTTGAAATTCATCGAATTTTTCAATCAATAAGACAGCAGCTCTATCATCTGAAATTCAAAAAGGAACCAGTATGATTGTAATAGGTCTTCAAACATGATAAAAAATATTCTAAACACTGAAATACCACTTCATGTTTATGTGTCACATAGTACTTGGGTTAAGAGTAGTGTAAAACCACTTCTTTGTGATCAACAAAACCTTTTGTTTAAGGTCTTAGAGAAGAAAAACATCTGGATAACATTTACAGATAGTGCTGACCTACTTCCTACAAAAAGAAACTCATTAGTTTTGTACTTATAGTTTCTCTCCCAAATTAAATATATGAACTCACCAACACAATTAACACGTGTATATTTATTTGTGACTGATTCCTGTTAAATGCTTAACATGAATCTTGTTACAACGTGAGACTTTGTAACTTCAGTTAAACCTTGATATGAAAAACTTTGATTTTAAACACACCCTAACGAAAATATATAACAACTACAAGCATTAACCTGAACATAGATTATACATTAAAGAATAGATGGCAGTATACTTATTGGATTAATTGCAAGCAGTTCTTATCGATAATCAATAGCAAGTCAACAATTACTATAAATCAGGGATTATTATGTAGATATGTGTTAAAATCTGTATCCTTGATTCTTACTCCCCAGTTGTAAGATGTGTTTGTACTCGTTAAATCAACTATGCAAATATCATCCTTTAATATTTGTGAAAGTTGAACAAAATCTTGATGTAGAAAGTACCAGGAAAACAACGAACAACTATCTTTAGGCCAAGTGCTGAGTACCTTTCAACTTTATAGCAGTATGAAATAATCATTCCACTTAGTACTGATACGTTACTAATCCACTGACTTTCAGTAGTCACCGTATCGTTTAACATAGAAGACTAGGGAGGATTAAATACTAATTTTAAAGATAAAACATCCGTTTATAAGATAAATAAATACTTTATGCACTAATCGGCAAGTTAGAATGAATATATTTCAGTATTCTGGATAATAGAACGTACACGTAAACAATGGTAATGATCTTAAATTCTGTAAATCTCTACGATATATCCATGCTTTCGATATCCTGGAGGTGAAGTTGAATGACCACAATTCTTCTGCATGTTTATCCTTTGTTCGTGCTGTTATCATTCGTTTATCTAATCCAAAATCCCAGTCTGGTTCATCTATACTGAAATACGACTCATCCATAAAATTACTGCGAACAGGCTAAGGAAGAAAAGTAGTCATTATCAAAAATTAAATAATGCTTACTTTTAATGCCAGTAAAAATATCCGTATAAAAACAATTACCACCATAATATATGAAAACACAGAAATGTCCAGTAGGTTATAGATTCCTTATATGTGATATCATTCAATTTATAATGATTATGGAGGCCATCAAACCTCGCAAGCTAGTTAACTAGCCGGTCCCAAGCCCGGGTAAAGAGGGAGGGTTGGGAGTTGGGCTAGCAACCCTACAACACAAAAGCTATCAAACAGCTAGAGAAACTTCAACGCACAATAAAAACATTCAAAATACAAATACATAAAAGAAAACTGATTCTTCGCTGGAATCAAACAGGCGAGATGAGACAGTGGGCTGGTGAAAGCCTTCAGGAAGCCAGTCAACCGACGAAAGCAAGAATAATAGGGATGTGGAATGTCCGTACAATGTACGAGACTGTGAAGGCTGACCAAGTAGCCAACGAAATGGAGGGTATGGCATAGAAGTGCTGGGTATCTCTGAGAACAGATGGAGTAGATGCGGACTGCCAAAATCGTCAACTGGTTAGTCAGTAATGTACTCCAGTCTGGTAACCCAGACGACAACCACGAACACATTGAGGCAGTGAGTGGTTATTATCATGCCACTAGTGTCAGACAAAGCTCCCATGTAGTGGGAACCAATCTCCTCATGAATGATTATGACAGCAAGATTCAACGTAAAAGTAAGGAAGGTCACAGTAATTCAATGTTACGCACATACAAATAACGCAGAACAAGACAAGAAGAAATATTTTTACAGGCAACTACAAACAGCAATGGACATCCCAAATAGTGACATCAAAATCCTTATGAGCGGTATCAATGCAAGCTAAGCTGGGAGCAGATAATACAGGAAGACAACTCATCATGGATCGAGAGGCTCTCGGAGAAGTGAATGACAATGGAGAGCTTTTCGCAGACTTCTGTGCTTCCGATGGTTCGGTAATCGGAGACTGTGTGCAAGCACAAGCATATACACAAAGCAACGTGGATTTCCCCTGATGGTCATTCAGAGTGGAAGACATGAAAAGATTAGCTGTCTTTGATCATAGGTGCCTGCGCTCTATCTCCGGTGTGAAGTGGTATAATAAGGTGAGCAATATTGACGTTAGGCGTCGAGTTCTAGGTAAGAAGGGGAAATCAATTGACGAGGCTGTGAAATTACATCGACTGGGATGGTTAGGACATGTGTTACGTATGCCTAGTCATCGCCTTCCTCGACGAGCAATGTTAGCGGATGTAGGGTCAGGCTGGAAAAGAGCTAGCGGTGGTCAAAACAAAACATGGAACCAGTCAATGAAATCCACAACAGTTAGTCTAAGCCACGTAGGAAGGTGTAGACTGGATTCCTGATTGGGATCCTTGGGACGGTAAAAGCCAATGGTTGGAAACAATTGGTGAAATGACTCAAAATCGTTCTCAGTGGCGCAGATGCATCCACTCCTTGTGACTTATGATTTCCAATGAAACTGTTTTGTTCTTCGTTACTACTATTCCTTTGTCTTACACCTCTGTTTACTGTCTCTATTATGCATTTCTTCTTTCTTCTCTTTCTTTGTGTGCCACATGGAGTGTGGCGACTTGAACTGCTGCACATCGGTGCAAAGTTCTACGTCGAAAACAGACAGACAGACAGAGCAAGTACAAAAAGTTCATTTGGGATTTGATTAATTCAGTCACCTATTACACATGCATACTGCACAGCAGTTGGTTCTATTCCACTTTACGGCTGAAGGACATTGTAAATGAAAGTACAAGATATAGAAAGATTGGAAACTTTTCACCACATAGGCTTTTATTCAATTCCTCGCAACAACTGGAGCAATATGGCAAGGCATAATGAGGTTAAGTATAGTCTTTAATAAGGGGCATGAGGCAATTACTTATGTTATGAAACACAATTGATTAATGTGGATAATACATGTGTTATGCATTCCAAACCACCGGCTTGTCAGCTACAGTAAGATTATGCTAAAAAAAACAGTTGGGAGCGGCCAGAATATGACACCAATTCATAAAGACTGCTGGTCTGAGACATATTAAGCTGGGTTTTTTAAGATGCTAAGAGTTAACAGTTAGAAGCGTCTGATATGGTTCAAAATCGTTTAAAATGGTGCATGTATATTTACTCATTATCTCCCTGACCCTAAAAGTCACCAGTTTTCAATTAACTGTCCTCTCCCTCATACAAGTGCTGGTCTGTTTTTGTTTCTTTGTTTTATGAGTGACAAACTGATGTGATGCATCTTTGTACCAAAGCTGACTTATCAGTCTGATTGAAGCCTCGAATTGCCTTACTCTTTTATTATGAATCATGAAGTTATACAGAAACTTAAGAAACACACAATCCAGACACCCTAGGGATTTAAGTCACCCCCAACTTTCTAAGTATCAGGACATATTGAATACGCTTTCTATTTATGGATTACACCGTATAATTCTGGTTTACGCTGAGTAGTAACAATTCCTATACCTACAATTTTGTCAACAGAATATGTTGTCTCCAACTTTAGTAGAAATGCATCATGCCTATATGTTGACAGAAATAGATGAGTTTAACCCAGTAAACTGAACGAGTGTGTACGAAAATTCAACTAGTACCTGTCGCACTCATAACTCAGATGCATAATGCTCCAACATCTGAATAGATGAGTATGTGATAGGCATATTGGTTTTGCTGTACTGTCTGAGTTTTTCATTTTCCTGTGAGCGATCACGCAAATAGAAAGACTCAAACTTAACCAGGAAGTGTATATCAGATTTCAGTGTAAGCTGTAGTCATACAAAAACGCCTACGATACCGTTTAGTACTGATGAAGCACTTACAAATACTATACTAAGTTATCAAATAGGCACTTGTCCAACAAATTGGTACGCTCATATATTCCCATGTGAGACATTCTACACCACTACAAAAAACTTACTGGAGAATCCAAAGGTACGTTACAAAGGGGTAATGGCTTTTGAACAGCATTCATTGGTGTAGGAATTCCATCGGTTAATAAGCAAAGATCATATTTATGAACACTCATATTCCATTTCTCAACTCCTGTTGGAGCATTAATTGCGCGCACTATGTTATTCACTCTGTAAGCTATTATCGTTGGATCATTTGTATTGACGTTTCCATCAGACAAGCTTTTTTCAATATTAGAGTTGGTACATCCATCACGCGTACAATTATATCTTATCTACAAAAGAATAAATATCAGAATTGAAGTCCAGAAGCTAAAACAACAAACATACAGAAACAATCATATAAGACGCCAAAAACAAAATCCAAAACAGACAATAAATTTCGGTTACCTTAAATATTCATTAGTCAGAAAATATTTTTATCACAATAGAGTATTCAGAAAGTACAGTGTAAACCCCAAATTTCAGAACATCAACCAGAGAAAGACTAGGAAATCACAAAGTATTGCCAGTGCTATCAAAACTTTCTTCTCAACTGCATTGTTTTGAAATATATGTGCAGTTTCGAAACACCCGAACACATAAAGCAAAGACACTATCAGAAATATGGAATACTTCACCTTTCATAATGTGAATAGATCCCAATTCTAAATCACTTGCATACAAGTTCAACTCACAGCGTCTCTTGTGACTACCATTAACTTTCTTCTTTGTTGCCTCTACATATATCTATTCAACCAGCTGTACATCCCTCAAACTTTTCACATATATGCAGACTGTACAAAGGAACTATTATTGTCGGCGGTATGAAACCAACATAATACCAGAAAACGAGCCGAATTACAAAAATAGTGACGCCCTGGATTATAATTGCATGTTGAACCTCTCATATGCGCTTATAAGAGGCTAATTGCCTGTTCATACACACTCATTTGATCATGAGAATAAATCTGAAGAGCCTCCTCTACATTCTTAAGATTTGATGACTAACTTAATACTGAACTAGCAGTATAAAGTTCTAATGCGACAACGAAATTTACTTCATTTGCTAGCCGTTTATGTATTATTTAATCTAAGATTTCTAGGAATACAAAATACTTCCAATATTTGCCAATGATAGTTTGAAGTTTTACTTATGCACTTAACCACTACAGTTAGAACGGTGTGAAGTATGTTTTTGTGATAAATACAAGAAGCTGTAAGAGTGAATGACTTCCAAACAGAAAAAGAGATATTTGGTCGGAGGGAAAGTAGTGTACATTAAACTTAACATTGCTGTGGTTAGTACTAGTCGAAATTGCCCACACTCAGACGACCAGTCTATTATGCTTAAATATTTCTGAAGTTAGCTTAGCAGATAGCATCAACTCTCTCTTTCTGGAATACTTACTATAATTCAACAAGTGTTGGGATTTTTTGATTAATTTACTATTCAAACGACAATCTGATTGCAGGTAAGTGAAAAGGAGTAAGTGATATATAGACAGTCTATCACTTCCCTACACTACTACCTTACTATTGTTCACGAGATATTATTTTTGTCTCCAACTCTTATTCTCCTCATCTGCAGCCCAACAGGTAGCTATTAGCCTCATGCAGCAGTCGGGTCAGCATGTCGCAACGACTCAGAGGGATATTTTGGCCGGAACGAATGTTTCCGTAGGCCACGTCAGAAAGGTTGATTGGGTTGCGAATAGACTAAAAGCAGTTACGAAGGAAACAAAAGACAATTTTCTTAATATTCTACTTTACCAAATTTCAATTCCATAATTCTACTGTCGTTGATTATCGCGTAACTTCTGAAGTCGTTAGTAGCTACATCTGAGTAACTGAAACAGTCGTCGCACACGTTCGTAACAGATTGCTGTTTGTTGCAGCAATTATAAATACGATTGCTTTGTCAATAAGAAAATTTTCTCTGCTCAGCTGTTTTTCATCATTATTCAGCGGGTATTTTCGGCGTTTTGAAAGCAGTCACTAGTGTATTTTTTAAACTATGTAAGGAGTCTGAGGTCGATGTCGTACTGTTGGCAGATACGGATATGCTACGAGGGAAGTGCACCAATGAGCAAACACGAAAACATCTGTGCCACCTTCTTGTTCTGTAGAGGAGGTTAAAAACGGGTGATACCGCAAATTTTATTTCTTGACATTGTCATTCGTTGCCGGTGGTAAGGTCTTCAGCACAAAAAAGCTCCAAAATCTTCACCTTCAAACAGTTATCCCCTGGACTCTGTTCGCCCAATACTCTTGTCTTTCAGATACTCCATAAATTGATCAACTTTCACGATATGGAAGCCTATGGAGAAACCAGTGACAGCACGCTTCTACAAGTACAAAACGTCGGTATAAACAAGTATGTCGTAAGAAGGAACTTTGACTCTTTCTTTTTCTGTTGGATTAGATGTCCCAAGAAGTACATTTACATATACCAAACCGCAAATGAAATCCACAACAGTTAGTCTAACCCACAGGGAGATTAAGTATTCTTGGTTGGGGTCCTTAGGGTGGCAACAACCGATGACTGGAGACAATCGGTGACATGGCTCAAAATCGTTCTCAATGGCGCAGATGATTGATCATATCCAATAAAAATCTGCTGTTCTTCTATATCACTATCTTCTGTTATCTCTTTTGAATTTCTCTCTACTCTTTTCTCTTGCTATGTGTGATACATGGAGGGAGAGTTGCAAGTTGAACTGATGCACATCTGTGCAAAGTTCTACGTTGAAACCAGTCAGTCCGTTAGTGGGTTTCGTAAAGCACGCTGAACAAATACAAATTAGAGTACGGAAAAGAATTGAAAACCAGCAATGGATGGTGAATATCTGTAAAATACTAATAACGTAACATAATAGACTAAATCATACATGCATGCCAACGTCAACATTTAACCACCTAAACTATTATATGACTAAAATCAAATCTTACGGACCCTATTCAATAAAAAACAAAGGCTACAATTAGTGCTACAATCTCTGAGATTGGCACATTTATTGATTCAGTGACTTTGATTTCATATGTGTAACATCAATTACTTACTTTTCCATCATTAGGATTAAAAGCAAAAGTTGAGTGATCTCGTCCTCCAGTTAAGATGGACTCTTCTGTAAGCATAAAATTCGAGGAAAATAAAGAATCGATATTCAGTGGCAGTGCTTTTAAAGATGCCTCCTGAGACAACTCCAGGTCATCTGTTAATCTCCTCTCCATTAAAAAAAGCTGTCCTTCCAGAGATGGGACGATGTTATATGACTTTGTCTTTGTCATGAGCTGTAGGTCACTGAGGCTTTGAGAAACAAGTGCAGGGCCATCTATCTTCCATAATTCTTTTCCATTTTCAATATCTAAGCCAATAAATGAACCGTCAACTGTATTTGCTATAAGTATCCTGCAAGGAAGTATTTATTCAAATGGAAAATACCCACCCCCTAGCACTATGAGAAGGTATACTTTCCGCACTTATGGTCAAAATGAAAATGCAATAAAAAAGGAAGGGGATATGGTACGAAACCAACGACTTTAGGGACATAACTTTCACGTCATATCACTGATCGTCGACATTTGGAGTCCCGGCAAGGTCAGGAGCAACGATTGAATTTAATTTGTGTTAACAATCAATTCGCTTACAAAAACTTCAGAACTCACTGTTATGGTTGGCATTATACATTACTTTTCTTCATAGAACAGAATCAAGAACAAAGATCTCATCTGTTCTCCAGGTTTATGTGCTTTACGCGCGAACTTTGAAAAGGGAGTTAATTTTCACGCTCTTGTTTATAATTGGATTTTGTTGTGTTATACGCTTCAAAAGTCCACAGATTTAACTTTAAATCAGTTTATTCTGATCGAAGTTAGTTTACGTTTCAGATCTGAGTCTATTAATTATAGGAATGTGTTCTTATAACATAATAGCTACATATATCTATCTTTGTGCACTCATTAGCTTTTATCACTGATTTACAAAGGTTATATATATATTTGAAGTTGTATTTAACTTTTCCTGGTTTGTTTTAAATAAAATGCCTATCAAAAGAAACCGCTGCGGAAGGGCTATGTGCCAGTTTCCAGTGGATGAGGGAATGCAGTGTGATAACTGCAAGAGATGGTTTCACAGTATGTGCACGAACCTTACTCCAGCAGCATACAAACGCTGCTGCAAACCTCTAGCGAACTGGTTATGCAACGACTGCTGTAGTACAACTAAACTCCGTATTACAGAAGCCATAGCTACTCTTAGTGGGGCTTTAAAGCTCATGGACTGCAAGCGTCCTCCACCACAGAAGAATACCGACTATTGCTCAGATAGCGATGACGTGACTAGCGTCATTGACAAAACAGCACATGTCCCAGATGCGACCTTGCCAATAAGTGAGTGCTCTACAGCACAGAAGAACACCCACCATATTACAGACACCCAGGTCGCCCCCACGATACTGGATGAGCCCTCCAGTGACAGTAATGGAAAGACTGCCGTGAAGAAGAGGCGTACTAGGGGTCGAAAACCTGCAGCTCCAGTCGCCCAGGGACTGGCGGAACAAGCCTCATCCACACCGGTGAGCAGCAGACAGACGAACCCCACTAAGATTAGCGAGGAGGACGCCAATGAATGGCGCACCGTAGTCTCTCGCAAAAAGCGAGATAAGGATAACACTTCGGCCACACCGCCCAAGAAGGATAGAAACACACTTACGCCTCAGGGCAAGAAAGTCACGGAAAGCAAACCCGATCTCTCTGATAGGTCTCTCATTCTCCACAAAGTGGAGGAGTCACTGGCCCTCGACCCTAAGACCAGATTCGAGCATGACCTTAACTTGGTCAAGCCCCTTTTAGACAAGCTACTGCCACAAACAGTATCAGGCATTACTATACACAGCGTATACAGAATAGGTCAAAAGCCTGACCCTACAGTAAGTGAACCTGTACGTCTCCTCAAAGTCGTACTAAACTCTAAAGCAGAGAGGGACGCTATTCTAAGCAACTCTCATATTCTCAAAGGATCAGGGATATATGTCCGCGCTGACTTAAGCCTAGCAGACCGTGTCAAAAGACAGGCTGCGGCACTAGAATTAAGTGAGCGACGCCGGAACGGTGAGAAGAACCTTAAGATTAAGGGTTTTCGGGTTGTCCGAGTTCGCAGTTTAATGATCCCGAAACCTCTGTGGGTGGGCCGGGGAAGCACCAATCTGAATTAACAGTCTGCTACACAAACGCCCGCAGCCTGTTAAATAAAAGGACTGAGCTGGCAAACATGATAGAAACCGGAAACCCGGATGTAATTATTATCACAGAGACATGGCTCACACCCGATGTCACTGACAACGAAGTTAACCTGCCAAACTTCGAAGTGCACAGGGTAGACCGACTAAACCGCAAAGGAGGGGGCGTAGTCATCTACCTCAAGAAAGGCTTAACCGTGCGTAGTATCGAAGCACTCGCCCACGAAAGTGAGTCGTGCGAACTTCTACGCTGCAGACTTAAATGCATAGGCCAAGACATTGACCTCATTGCTGTGTACCGCAGTCCTGACTGCAGTGCAGACGACTTCCTAATAGAGAAGCTAGGCTCCTGGACTTCAAAATGTCGAAGTCTCGTAGTCGGTGACTTCAACGCCCCAACAGTTGACTGGTCGAGCCTAACAACTCCATCTTCAGTCAACTCCTTTGATCATAAACTGCTAGAATCTAGTATATCGCTAGCCCTAGTCCAACATATCATTAAGCCCACGCGCTATGACTCACAGCACTCCTCATCAACTCTGGACCTAGTGTTCTCACACGGTGAGGATGTGGATCTCATACAACATCTTCCTCCGTTAGGAAGAAGTGACCATGCTGTGCTCACTTTCAAGTTCACAGCAACGGCAGCAAGGGCCAAAACCCCAGCTCGACCAAACGTTTGGAAAGCTGACATAAATGCGATCGTCTCAGCAGCCAACTCAGTAAACTGGTACATCAATCCAGAGTCCCAAGTAGAAGCCGCATGGAACCAATTTAAGCAACTTTACGCCCAAGTAACTGTACCCTTCATCCCTTGGTCTGTTCCAAAGGGTCGGAAACATTCCCCCCTTGGATAAACCGGGAGATTCGTAAGTTACTCAGACGTAAACGCAAATGTTGGAACCTGTTTGCAACACTTGAGACTTCTGAGACCAGGGAATTATATACTACTGCTAGAAATAAAGCTATCGCAGAAATCCGCCAATCAAGGATGAAGTTCGAGACACACCTGGCCCAAAATGCAAAGGCACAACCTAAGAAAATTTTCTCGTACTTGAATTTCAGGAATAAAACACCCAATGGTGTCCCAAACCTGATTATTGACAAAGATACAATCGAAGAAGATCAAGAAAAAGCAGAAGCAATGGCAAACTACTTCTCCCAAGTCTTCACTCAGGAGTCATCACTGCCTATAGGATCAGCTCTGGCTGCATCAGAAGAACATGGGATAGATTCCGTTGACATCGACCAAGGCATCGTGCTCAACTTCTTAATGAAACTAGATGCAGGAAAATCAATGGGTCCTGACAGTCTTCATCCAAGGCTTCTCAAGGAGCTATCAGCCCACATAGCCGGCCCCTTGACCACGATCTTCAAGCTATCTCTCCAAAATGGAGTGTTGCCACGTGATTGGAAAGACGCCATAGTAACCCCCATACACAAAGGAGGATCAAGACAAAGCCCTTCAAATTACAGGCCTATCAGTCTCACCAGCACTTTAATCAAGACACTGGAAAGAATTATCAAGAAAAGCATCATGGCTTATCTGGAAAATAGCAGCTTGTTATCTGGAGCACAGCATGGCTTCCGGAGGAACCTCTCATGCCTGTCAAATCTCCTGACTGCAAGAGAAAGCTGGGTCAAATCAAAGGACAACAGAAGACCCGTTGACGTCGTCTTCATAGACTTCAGTAAAGCCTTTGATAAAGTACCTCACAAAAGACTACTCATGAAATTGGAAAGTCTTGGTATCAAAGGCAGACTACTAGACTGGCTCAGGGAATTCCTCATAGATAGGAGGCAGAGGGTTAGGATCAACTCAAAACTCTCCTCCTGGACAGCAGTAAGTAGCGGAGTGCCACAAGGCACGGTTCTCGGTCCTCTCCTTTTTATTCTGTATATCAATGAGTTACCTCTGCTCACCGACTCCCCTATGGTCCTATACGCAGATGACTTAAAAATTTGGAGAGAGCTGAAGGGCAACAGTGATACGTCACCTTGCAAGACGACCTCAACAAACTGTCGGAGTGGTCTGTTGAATGGATGCTCCCGATCAATGTGGCAAAATGTGCAACCATGCGCATTGGACAAGCAAGCACGAGCTCCTACGAACTAGAGGGAATAACACTTCCATCAGTTCAGACTCACTTGGACTTAGGTGTCATAGTTAGCCACGACTTAAAAACTACAGCACACTGTCGCGCGGTGGCTGCACGTAGTTTCAGGTCCTTATGGGCGATTCGCAGAGCCTTTACAAGAATTACCAGAGATATGTTCACCTCCTTATACACATCTCTGGTTAGGTCAAGACTGGAAAACTGCATCCAGGCCGCCAGTCCGTGTCTAAAAGGGGATTCACACATTCTAGAAAGTGTTCAAAGGAAGGCAACACGTATGGTTCACGGCATAGCTAACTTATCATACGAGGAAAGACTAGATAGTTTAAATCTCTTCTCACTGTCATACCGTAGGCAGAGAGGAGATTTAATCACAATGTTTAAAATTTTAAATAATGACTACGGACCTGACCTATTCTCTCTTTTCCTTCCCACCAGGTCGGAACACCTTAGAGGACATAGCAGGAAAGTTCAAAAGCCAAGGAGAAATCATATTGCTGTTGAGTACTGGTTCTCACATCGAGTCATAAACTCTTGGAACCGACTCCCAGAAGAAGTGGTGTCTGCAACCTCAACTGATTCGTTCAAGAAGGGTTTGGACAACCACAGAAATCTACTAGAAAAGGATTAACATAGGCTGCAAGCCTTCTATCCTCAACCAATAAATCTGAATCTGAATCTTTATGGTACTTTGTTTAAATTAGCGTTATAAATCCCTTGCCGTCCGATCGGAACATAGAGCTTCAAAAGTACATTATGATTTTGCCGTCTTCTCTGAAGTCTCCTTCATCTGGATCCACGATCGTCTATTGACTTTCATCTCCACATCACACGGTTTCCCTCATGTTACCCTAGGACCCACACCCATTCAGATTCCACAGGAGGAACTGGCATGTGATATTACTTTACACCTTCTTCAGCCTATGTCCAGTCCCTTTCCATTTTCTCCCGCGTGTTTGCTGAATGAAGGGTGAATGGTTGCTTCAATAATAGAGTTACTTTTTGGTCACCATTTTTTCTGGAGGTTTATTTTATTTTAAGTATTCAGCCAGAGACAATACTTCTGTATTTCCTGATGTGTTGCACTCACTGACAATCTAGCAGATTTTTCCAACTATGCACAGAAATGATTGTACATAAGTGAAAAGGACGTTTTATACTATTGGAATTAAAATTTATCAATTGTGTGTATAATCTCCAGCGTACATGTTAAACATATTTTGCTATCGACTGTAAAT